CTTATCATCATTATTACTATTATTATCATTATCATTACTATTACTATAATAATCATTATCAACATTATTATCATCCTCATTATCACGACGATAATAATAATAATAATAATAATAGGAGTAGTAGTAGTAATAATAATAATAATGAAAAAAATAAAAAAAATAGTAGTAGTAGTAGTACTACTACTACTAATACTACTACTACTAATAATAATAATAATAATGATAATAATAGTAATAGTAGTAGTAGTAGTAGTAGTAGTAGTATAATAATAATAGTAATAATAATAATAATAATAATGATAATGATAATGATAATACTAATGATAATAATAATAACAATAATAACAATAATAATAATAATTATCATAATTATTATTATTATCATTATTATAATATTATTACGCCGACTGGCTACATCGGGGTACGACGACTACGGAATAAACGACGAACGGGACGAAAACGCATCCCGGCAGAGATACACTAATTGGCATTAACACTGATGTCAAAAAACAAAACCGATTAAAAAAACATGAGTGAGTCTGTAATTTTCAAAAAATGAAAAGTACTTATCGCCACCTCCTCTACGCCTTCCATTATTCTCTATTCCTCCTCTTCTCTTCCTTTATTCATTTCTTCTTCATTACTTCTTCTTCTCTTATTCCTGTCTTTTTCTTCTTCTTTCTTACTCTTCTTTCCTTCTTCTTCATTCATCCTCTTCTTCTTCTTCTTCGGGTCCTTCTTCTTCTTCTTCTTCCTCCTCCTCCTCCTCCTCCTCCTCCTCCTCCTCCTCCTCCTCCTCCTCCTCTCTCTTCTTCCTCTTCTTCTTCTTCTTCTTCCTCTTCTTCTCCTTCTTCTTTGTCTTCTACTTCTTCTTTCTCCTTTACTTCTTCTCCCCCTCTTCCTTCTTTATTTTTCTTCTATCACTCTTCCTTTTATTCCGTTCTTCTTCCATTCACTCTTCGCCTCATCATTCTCCGAGTTCATTACTGTCTCCTCCTTTATTTCTCTCTTCTCCTTCCGTCTCCTTTATCTCAATCCTTC